GACCTTGGTTACGCAACCTATGCGCATGCTACCCTTTGATATGCGTCTCCAATCCCAGCCGTCTCGCCTAGGAAATTGGAATCTTTGTCTCCTTCAGGTATAAAAAAAAAGAGATGAAAGGGTATTTGGTACAACAAGAAATATAACCCATTTGAATCCTCATTTTAAAAGTACTGCCATTCCACTCAATATTCTGTGCTATTTGTTTTCACCATTGAACATCCTCTTTGGCCCGGACATTTACCTAATAAAATATTAACCACAAACAACCTTGTGAATCTCTCTAGATGTTCGCTACTTGTTTTCATGGACCTCGGGCAAAATTGCTGGCCAACTGCACTTTTGCAAGAATGCATGGAGTCAAATCACATGTTGTGGCGCCGTGTGCAGAATATTTAGATACCGATCATAAGGCTGGTGTATATGAAGTGAGAAGCACACGTCTTTGTTGTTGACCTGACCATCCAGTTATCACTGTACGGCCCATCCTGAGGGTCCTATGGCCCACATTACTGTAGATCCACTAAATTTGTTCAAAAATATATCAGTAAGTATAACTTAATCTATATCAATTTAACAAACTAGTGCATGTGGCAAATATGTAACAAGGATTGGTTGATAACTTGCACTCTTAAAAGTAAATGAGGCAGTGATGCCATAGAAGAACAATTTTGGGTTCCACAAAGAACCATTTTTTCTTAATGTGAAGAACATTTTATAATCTACAGAATCTTTTTCCATTATAGAACCTTTTGTGCATTGTAAAGATTCCATGGATGTTATAGGTTCTTTAAGGAACAGTATGAGTGTGTGCACTTTATTGCATTATACTCTGTATTTTACTTCTCTATGAGGAAAGGATGAATAAAATGTAGCTTAATCTACAAAGCAAAAACGCAGCAACTACAATTGGATACAATAGAGTTTGTTTCAGGACCACGGACAGCACATTTTGCTTTCATAGACTGGACTTCCTTTCTTCAATCTAGCAAGTTGGCGACTTCAGGCTAGTTCAGACTACAGCCCCAAGAATGAGTGTTTTGCGTATGGCTTACAGCATTTAATGTACAACTGGCATATGAGAGAATACAAGTCGTAATAATGCTGATAGAGTAGAATTGGAGGAAAGGGAACAAATGTCTTTTATCAGAGAGCTTGTGTTATAGGATCCCCGTTGAGACTTCTTCCTTCTGAGATTGTTCTCTCGGAGGACTGAGCATTATGGAAATGTCTGATCATAACTTGAGGAATATTTCTTCCAACACAATCAATATTTCCACATTTATCCTCTGAAAGAGAACGTTTTCTTGCTTTGTGGGACGCCTGTAGAAGTGGGTATGTAAGATGAGCCCTTGGTAATTGATTTATTTCTGTTCAGTGGTGAGAATTTTTTTTTCTTCGTGAGACGAATTAGATTAAGCCATGTTGATACACGCAGGATAATGGATATTATGCATAAAGACAATGGAAATAGGTGATGGATGATGACAAAACAAATCTAATCTGGGTTCCAAAGCAGGCAAGAATGGGAGAATCATAACTGAACAGTGCCGAAGGATCATTGCGTAGCACTCTGTCGAACGTCAGAGTGAAAATTCATTTCCTGAAATATTGACACCCAGGGAAGACGGATAAAAGAGACTGTGTGTCATAGGGCAAAAAGACAGCAGGGCCAGACAGGAAAGTTGGGCCCCACAAACATCCAGACAGATTTTTGGCAATAAATATTCCATTTACATTAAATCATGCACTGCGTTTTTGGGTCATTCCACAAAAAGGATGCATTTTGTGTTTTTCGTAAACAAATACTTGATGTGTTAGCTTCATTTTATTTTTATTTTTTTACATTTTAGTTAAAAAATAAGTACATTTAATCTAGTAATTTTGATTTTCTAGTATTATTAGTAGTATATTCCAAAATATCAAATAAAAGCCATTTGCCATCTGTTTCTTTACATACATTTTCATTTTATTGCACATAATATTTTATTTAAAAAATAATGTTACACATTCATAACATGATGAAGACAAGGGTCTCCTTTTTTGTTACTATAATACGTTTTGTCAGGTTTGTCCAGCATGTTAGCACGAGTTTGTAGAGTAAACAACTTTCTACTGAAAACTAGATATATTTTTTTCTCTTTCTAAAAACACCTTACAGTGTCATGACCTTGAGCAAAAAAGGTCAGCATGACTAAATAAAGTACAACCTTGTCTCTTTTTAAAGGCACAGCTATTTAAAAAAAAAAAAAAAAAAACGTTAACAATGCTATTTAGTTACACTTCAAATAATAAAATAATCATTTAAAATACTATAGCTTTTCGAAACAGAAAAGACTTACATTTCGTGGAATGACCCTTATAATCTCCTCATCATGTTTCATCTCCATACCTGCAGAGGTAACAGCAGCGGCTCTTATTTACATGATGCAGTGTGAGGATATAGAGTTTAGGGAGCACAGCAGAAGTGAGAGGGGAATCAGGGCGGTAATAATTGCTCACTCCCAAACAATTCCACCAGTGACATCCCATTACTTTAAACACGACAAAATAAGGCCACCCGTGCGCGGAGAAAGAATTCACTGAATAAGACATGAAGGGAAAAGGCTGCCGTTATTAGCTGTGGAGGGTTCATCATTAGAAAGCAGTGAGACGGAGCATAATCCTTCACGGCGCGACTATAACTCTCCCGTTACTTGCAGTAATTACAGCGCAAGTGCAGCCCGCCGTCTGTGTTCGAGCACATACTCATTTAGCCTCTCTATAACAACCGAGAGACAATGAAAGCAACGTTACTTCATCATTTACCTCTGACACGTGCGTACGAGCTACAAGATTGTGGCAAAACTCAGTGAGAGAGAAAGAAGAGCATATCTAAAGTGTTAAAACTATCGAAACTATTGTCCTAAAATGTATATATAACGTCCTGGATATATTTTCACACATTTTAGCAAAGTTGCAGTTAGGATAAATGCGCGTGTGTGAGAATGAGAGGGACGTCAACGTCTCCAGAATCATTAGCGGTGTTATATCGCCATCTAGCGGACTCAAAATACAAGTGCAAGTGATTTTGTAGTCATGTGGTACATTTTCATGCCTCCATCATATAATATCCCTCTTAATATAGTGTATATATTTATATATTTTTAAAATATGGAAATATGTGTTATGTTATTTTATTTTATCATATTTAAGTAACAATAATGGTCCTTAAAAATAATAAACTTTTTTTTTAGATGAAATTTTTTTCTGCTTATGTGTATAAAATGAAAAATTGGCAATATATTGAGGAATATTCTAGGCATTTCTTAATTTTTCTCCTAATCAAAATGTTTCAAACAACTTGGGAATATTGGTTTAAACAAGGTTTTTCTTGTCCTCAATCCCTGATTTGAGGTTTGAGGTCAGGCATTGATTCACTACAAGAGGCCTTTATTCACCCCCCGGAGCCGTGTGAGACACTTTTTTTATGGATGGGCACTTTTTATTTCACTTCTTTTGGACTAAAGCGCTGCAACACTCGCTGACTGCAGTGATAGAGCTTGAAAGATCAAAGACAATTTTTTATATAACTCCGACTGGATTCGTCTGAAAGAAGAAAGTCATATACACCTAGGATGCCTCGGGGGTGAGTAAAACGCAGCCTAATTTTAATTTTTGGGTGAACTAACCATTTTAATGGCAGTGACAGCACATCTCAAACCAGTGCACTTTTGCTGTCATAAGGTGTCTTTAACACAGAGAGAACAGCAGAAGTGCAAAGTCACTGAAAGCCATTCTTTATTCTTTACCATTATGATAAAGGCTAAATCTAGTGATCTGTAAATAAAGTTTTTTTGTATTTGACATTATTTGTCAATGTATGTGAGAATGATGATGCAATCACGTACACAAACATGTTTTAAATAGCTTCATTTCAGTTTACAAAACCATTCAAATACAAAACAGATATTGAAAAACAGTAACAAAAAAAAAAAAAACTTGTTAAACAATAAAATATCATTATAGGATTTTATAAAATACTTTGTCTTCAACTCAAACCAGCACTAAAACTTCAGCAACTTTTGTTACAGTTTAGCCACTTTTTGAAGTGTCTGATGATCTTAACACTGATAAAAAAATACTTTAGAAAATGGAGCAATACTGATCCAATATCTCAACGAGTGCAACAGGACTGGAGTCATGAATCCCTTAACATAGTTTCACATTTACAAAATGACTATTTTCACTGAACACAAATTAAAAAGTAACTGACACTGTAATAAATAGGAAGCTGCTTTAATCTTCTTTGCCTTAATGCATTAAAAAAAGCTAAATAAAAATGCTTTAAATGTGGTTTGACGTTTATTAAAAATGCTACCAAACTATGTGGGTGACCTCAACGTCAGTTCAGTACCCAATCACTTGATTTTCAGAATAAAAAGTGCTGTTTAAAGATGTCTTACAACCTTGTAATGATCTACTGACCTGGAATTTACTCCCTATATTGAAATTCAAACCTTTAACTTTATGGGGGAAAAAAGCTGCACTCAAATCAGGTTTAAAAGTGTAGTCTCTAAAACAAGCCCACATATACTTGAGGAGAGGTATATTAAAAATACATCAACAATACGTCAAACCAATATGTCTGAGTCCTTCAACAAGATACTCAGCGCAGATGGTTTTGTTTTTTTGTTTTCTAAATTTAAAATGTGTTTTCACATATTAGCTACACTCTTAAAAATAAAGGTGCTTCAAAAGGTTCTTCAAGCGATGCCATAGAAGAACCATTTTTGGTTCCACAAAGAACCATTCAGTCAAAGGTTCTTTAAAGAACCATCTCTTTCTTACCTTTTTATAATCTGAAGAACCTTCTTTCGCCACAAAGAACCTTTTGTGAAACAGAAAGGTTCTTCAGGTGTTAAAGGTTCTTTATGGAACCATTTAGACAAAAAGGTTCTTCTATGGCATCGTGAAGCACCTTTATTTTTAGGAGTGTATGCACTTTTCATTATCACGGCTACATTTACAGAGTGCAGCGAGTTGGTAGGAGTGTGTTCATCTATCGCCTAGCAAGAGAGCACTGTGTCTTACAGGCTACAATTCATCTCGGGCCTGTTTTGCGTGCCATGCCGGGTGCCGGTTCACATGTTCAGCCGCTAGAAGGACTAACCGCATGAACTCCTCTACATCAAAAGTGTAGTTTGTAAACTTAGGATGTTCCCTAAGAGTAGGATGATGCCCTAAGACAGTACAAAATATCAGTAAACAATATATAAGAACTTGATATTTACACTACCAGTCAAAAGTTTTTGAACAATACGATTTTTCATGTTTTTTAAAGAATTCTCTTCTGCTCACCAAGCCTGCATTTATTTGATCCAAAATACAGCGAAAGCAGTAATACCCCTGAAATATTTACTGTTTAAAATAACTGCTTTCCATTTTAAATATATTTTCAAATGTAATTTATTCCATTGATCAAAGCTACATTTTTTAGCATCATTATTCCAGTCTTCAGTGTCACATGATCCTTCAGAAATCATTCTAATATGCTGATTTGCTGTTCAAGAAACATTTATTATTATTATTATAAATATTTAAAATAGTTGAGTAAATTTTTTAGGATTCTTTGATGAATAGAAAGACCCAAAGATCAGCATTTATCTGAAATAAAAAGCTTTTGTAACATTATACACCATACCATTCAAAACCCTGGAGTCAGTATAATTATTTGTATTTATTTTTTTTGAGGGGGGGGGTTATAGAAATTAATGCTTTTATTTATCAAGTATGCTTTAAATTGATCAAAAGTGATGATAAAGCATTTATAATGTTACAAAAGATTTCTATTTCAGATAAATGCTGTTCTTCTGAACTTTCTATTCATCAAAGAAACCTGAAAAAATTATACTCAGCTGTTTTCAATATAATAATAATAATAAATATTTTTTTGAGCAGCAAATCAGAATATTAGAATGATTTCTGAAGGATCATATGACTGGAGTAATGATGCTAAAAATTACATTTTAAAATGTATTCAAATAGAAAACAGTTATTTTAAATGGTAAAAATATTTCAAAATTTTACTGTTTTTGCTGTACTTTGGATCAAATAAATGCAGGCTTGGTGAGCAGAAGATAATTCTTCAAAAAAACATTCAAAATCTTACTGTTCAGAAACGTTTGACTGGTTTTGTGTGTGTGTGTGTGTGTGTGTGTGTGTGTGTGTGTGTGTGTGTGTGTATATATATACACACACACACACATCATAATTAATAGAAAGTATATAGAATTTTTTCAAATAGTTAATATAACTTGCTAATAGGAAGTTATGCCACTAGTTTGAAGGTACTAACATGACTTAAACTGAATGTTACTGTATATAGGAATACTGGGATTAAATATAGTAAACTGGAGTGAATCCAGGCAGCGGTGTGTGTGCTCTCCTCACCTTATCCTGGGGGAACACTTTGTCCCTTTTCTGCCAAGTCATGTAATGGACTCCCCTCAGTCGGGCCAGATCACGGTAGCAGCTCTCATCTTGACAGTTGTACCTGTGGAATACAGAAAGAGGGATGTTTTATGTCCCAAACTTAGCAGGCGGTGGCCCACAAAGCCTCCACAGACTCCATTTGATGGATAACTGTTTAATTAGGCTGTATTTCATTGTCACACACATACAGACACAGTCAGATGCTTCCCTCCTCCGTAACACACATTAAGAAGTACATCGTACAGCACAGAAGCTTGACTGCATCCACTTGAGTATTTGGTGGCTGTATAACACGACATGAGTGTCAGACGCACAGATGAACACTGGGGAATATGTCTTAACACGTGCAGATAGGTGTCGAGGAAAAACAGCGCTCTGAAGCCAATCGTGATGTATTCATTTATCAGTAGAGAAACAGAAAGACACTTTTCTAAAGTGCAAGGATGCAACTAAATGTTCACAAATGATGGTTGTCAGAGGGGGGGGGGTCTAATGATAAAATTGTAAGAATCAGTCATTGGAAAACCTTCATCGATCGCCCACTTTGCTGTTTCTGCTGTTCTTTGAAGAGTCATTGGGAATAAACGTTTGGTGTCAGTACGTTTTTTTGTTTAATTATTCGGCAAGGACACATTAAATTGATCAAAAGTGACAGTAAATGTTATAATGTTACAAAAGATTTCTATTTTAAATAAATGCTGTTCTTTTGACATTTCTATTCATTAACCTGGAAAAAAAATGCTTCATGGTTTCCACAAAACTATTAAACAGCACAACTGTTTTCAACATTAATAATAATAAGAAGAAATGTGTCTTTAGCAGCAGAACAGCAAATCAGCATATCAGAATGATTTCTGAAGGATCATGTGACACTGAAGTAATGATGCTGATGATTTTTACCAACCCAACATTTTTAACAGTAGTGTAAATATATAGAAAAATTATTAGCAGGTATAGTACAATAATGAAGTCCTATAAGGCTGTGCATTATTATAGTTTTCTGTTGCTTTGTCATGATCACAACATCATTTTCTCAATATAAAAAAAAGTGAATATAATAAAAGTAATAAAACTGAGTGATCTTGATTTTTTTTTAATTCTCTTCATCTAAAGTTAACAAAGGACATAAGGATAAGCAACTCCATTTTTCCTCTTAGGACTGAAGTCTATCATGCTAATGCTTCTCACATTTGTCATTTATAATGCGAAATAGATGTTTAAGTTTCTATAAATAGTTTCTAACCTCAAAATATCCCGTTTGGTTGTGTTAATACAAACATGTTCAAAGTGTGACTTCAGAAATGGTATAAACATTATTTAAACACTGTAAACTGTAACTAATAACTGTTCATATGAACTTTTAAAGTGCCTTAGAAAAAGTTAAGAAGTATTTACATTCCTCAGACTGACAGTAGACAGTGTGGCTGTCCACACAGACCATATAGAAAGCAGAGAGATACAAAAGCCACGCACAATTCAAATATGACGGCCCAGTCGGGAAGAAAGAGGAGGTGGGTCAGTCCGGCTCCATGCATCCCAATGAAGATATCAGAGTTGTGTGAGACGCGGATCTGCTCCAGAAATGGCATCTCCCTACGAATACACATCAGCTTTCAATCACGCAAGCACCAAACTCAGCCTTCTCCAAAGAAATCGATACATTTAAAACCAACATAGACTGAATCACGCACTTGTATTTGTAATCCACCAGCTTGACCTCGAATAAAGGCCCAGTCTTCAGGGCACTGATAAGTTGCACACACACACACACACACACACACACAGCAGGAATTCAGAGGGTGATTAACGAGACCTCACACTCATGTGGACAGAGGCCAAGTAAATCAAGGCTTTTTACCAAGCAGGGGTTCTCCAGCAAATAAGAGTTTAAATGGGCAGTTACGGAAGCAGAGTGATAAATCAATGATGAGCAAAGAGAGAGAGAGCACTCACCTCCTGCTGGTTTATTATCCTACCGTACTGCGTGCTTCTTGCCAACAGTGTGACACGGACTTGGCCCTCCTGACAGAGCAGAAGGACATCACAGATTTCATACATATTTCAACACACATTTGTATCTTAATATGAATATATAAGCTATATATATTTTATAACATCTATAATCCAGTTTCAGATATAGGAATGTATTATTTAAACCTTTAATTAGGAGGGAAAAGAGAAAGTAAATGTGCGGAAAGAAAGAACGGGCCTTATTGACAAGCACAAGGACAATAAAAGAATAAGTTGTCCAACACCGCCATCTAGTGGCAGGTAGTTTAATCATATCAATAACTTAAAGTACGTCATATAACTACACTATAATATATATGACATTAATCTAAACATTACTGCAAATCCACCTATTTAAACGTTGGTGGCAAAGACTTTTGAATTTATACCTAAAAAAAATATATTATAAAATAATAATTATTTAAGTTATAATTATTTAAATGCATATTTAAAATGGAATAAAAATAACATATCATGTAATAATTATTTAAATGTATAAGTACAATTAATCTAATATAACATACAGTTATAAAGTTATTATTTATTTAAACGTATAAGAGTTCAAATCAATTTAATATTTAAATAAAAATAAATAATATAAACATGAAATTATAATTTAATAATTTATTTAAATTGACTAAATTAATTTAACATAAAATTAATGTATAAATAATAATACTACTAATAATAATAATAACAATACATTTTCATTTAATAATTCTTTATTTCAAATTATATAAATAAAAAATATATACCTTTTTTGTGAAGGTGAAATCAATGTGTTTATGTCAGTAGGATGAGATTGAGTTTATGAGCATAACAATTTCTACATTAATGCATTAAAACAGTTCATATAGAGTATAAGTTGTGTTTACATATTTTATTATTTAATTCAGAGAGTATGACTGTTTCTCAATGCTACTATGAGAATACAGGGATCAAATCATGATCTGTATTTGTGTGTGTGTGGATTCATATGGCAAGCCGTTTTATCCTAAAATATTCCCAGCGTTACTCGTCGTAATTGCATTTTTACTAGTAACAATTCAATTAGAGAGCTCTCTAAATCAATTATTACTAATAAAAATTGCATTAAAGAGCTCTGCAATTGTAATTCTTTTTAGTAGGAATTGAATTGTAGAGCTCTCTAATTGAATTCTTACTAGTAAGAATGTAATTGCAGATATCTAATTCAATTAGAGAGCTCTCTAATTCAATTGTTACTAGTAAGAACTGAATTAGAGAGCTCTCTAATTCAATTCTTACTAGTAAGAATGCAATTGCAGAGCTCTCTAATTAAATTAGAGAGCTCTCTTATTGTATTTATAACTAGTTAAAATAGATTTAGAGAGCTCTCTAATTGAATTGTTACTAGTAAAAATGCAATTACGTTACTCGTCGTAATTGCATTTTTACTAGTAACAATTCAATTAGAGAGCTCTCTAAATCTATTTTAACTAGTTATAAATACAATAAGAGAGCTCTCTAATTTAATTAGAGAGCTCTGCAATTGCATTCTTACTAGTAAGAATTGAATTAGAGAGCTCTCTAATTCAGTTCTTACTAGTAACAATTATGATTACAGAGCTCTCTAATTCAATTCTATTAGATATATAAAAATGCTCTGTAAGATCATTAACTATTTTACTTATCCATAATGCCCAAATCTGTTATTACTTTTCATCAGCATTATCACAGCATTTCTGAATAGAATCAGCTAAAATAAATTCACTGCTCACAATTGATCACAGATCATTTCTTATTTACACACACATTTTAAATTTTAAAATTGTTTCATTTCCCATTTTTATTTCAACCATTATTAACGACCTAATTTGTTGTATGTGGTTTTGTAACTTTCCAGCAATTAACATTAAATTAATATCAAATAAAATGAAATGAAATAAATAAATACATAACATAACATTAAAAAAAATCGAGCTGTAATTATCACTCAGCAACTGCTGGTTTGTAGTTATTGATAAACTTCATAAACTTTTTTTTTTTTTTTACAATACAAAATCCAAAATGCCAAAATCACCACAGATATTTGATGTGATGTAAACTTTTTTCATAATAGATACATTTTATATTAGATAATATTTTATCAAATAAAATTTGGCATATAGTTATACATAGTTACCACAGCATAAACATAAGATTTCTGACTTTAAAAATAAGTCATGGGACATGTGTAATGTGTCATTTATTAAAGTGATTTGTCAACCATTATAAATTAATATAGCCTACTGTTAGTGAATTAATAAAAACGAATATTTTCTCTTCATAACTGATATTTAGTTTGACGCTATATGGTGATTTTTTGCAAGAGAAAATTACTACATTCTTTGTGTTGCCTTGTAATTATGACAAAGTAATTACAGATTACATAATTATTAAAAACCCGTGGGGAGGTGGGACACAACAACGGTGTGCAAATGCGACCAGAGAACTCCAAATGAACCAAATAAGCAAGCAATCTTTGCACAAATCACTATAGCAATCAAAGTTTACAATAAAACTCCTTATATACTTAACACAATGACAGAAAGATTCTGACAAGCTTCTGGCATTAATTAAAAGAGATGCCTTGTTAATTACTTATGATTTACAGTAGTAACAATAGCTGGACTGTATGATTAGCACGCGATGTTGAGCTATTAGACTTGTAAATTCAGTGTCTAAGGCGATATATCTAGACAGGGCAGATCAGTCAGATTAACAAATACGCACTACCGCAGCAAAGATAGTTTGCGGTTTGATATTCAGATTTCTTTTGGCTATAAATACGCAGCGCGCTGTCATAGACATGCAAATAATACCGAATATCATTCTCCATGATTTGTGAATTCAGGTGACGCTGTCCTTCGGGCCGAAATCAGGTTTTTTTTTTCGTAGCGACTCTTAATTTTATAATGCCTATAGCTCCAAAAGTTGGACACTTAGAGGAATGAAACCGGTGTCATCTTCACCAGCTTGATCTGTGAATTTTTTCACAGCAAAGCTCTTGTCCGTTAACCCCTTGGTAAGTCCGCTAGTAAGGAATGTGAAAGAAATGCGTTCTTCATGTTTAACGTCTATTACCAATAAACACGCAGACTGCTCGAATACAAAAACATTGTTTTAGGTCGAGCTCGATTTGTGAAAACTTTCACAATCGCATTTTATCGTGTGGCAGTGTTTATCTTTGCTCTGCCCCCCATTCTGATCTGTGAAAACTTTCACAGTTCCATACGGGTCAGCTGACCCTTCCCTGGGTCACTAACATCACTATTGTGATTTGTGAAAACTTTCACAGTTCAGTTTGGGTCAGCTAACCATTCCCTGAATCACTAACATCACTGTTCTGATCTGTGAAAACTTTCACAGTTAACATTGTTTTAGGTCGAGCTCGATTTGTGAAAACTTTCACAATCGCATTTTATCGCGTGGCAGTGTTTATCTTTGCTCTGCCCCCCGTTTTTTGTAGCCTATAATAATGTCATTCGGTGCTGTTCCTGTGAATAACGGTTTCCAATTCATTAGGTAAATGAGCACATACACATATACAATTGTACACTTTGTTTGACAATAAAGTTTTGGTTGTTGTACCTTTCCCTGAGTACTTGGCTTCAATATTCTGATTTGCAAAACGTTCGCAGTGCAGTGTTGGTCAGTTAACCCTTCCCTGATTCATTTACATCACTATTTTGATTTGTGAAAACGTTCACAGTGCAGTTATGGTCAGATAACGGTTCGGTCAGTAACATCACTATTCTGATCTGTGAAAACTTTCAGAGGTAAGTACGGGTCAGCTGACCCTTCCCTGGGTCATCTACATCACTATTCTGATCTGTGAAAACTTTCAGAGGTAAGTACGGGTCAGCTGACCCTTCCCTGGGTCATCTACATCACTATTCTGATCTGTGAAAACTTTCAGAGGTAAGTACGGGTCAGCTGACCCTTCCCTGGGTCATCTACATCACTATTCTGATCTGTGAAAACTTTCAGAGGTAAGTACGGGTCAGCTGACCCTTCCCTGGGTCATCTACATCACTATTCTGATCTGTGAAAACTTTCAGAGGTAAGTACGGGTCAGCTGACCCTTCCCTGGGTCATCTACATCACTATTCTGATCTGTGAAAACTTTCAGAGGTAAGTACGGGTCAGCTGACCCTTCCCTGGGTCATCTACATCACTATTCTGATCTGTGAAAACTTTCAGAGGTAAGTACGGGTCAGCTGACCCTTCCCTGGGTCATCTACATCACTATTCTGATCTGTGAAAACTTTCAGAGGTAAGTACGGGTCAGCTGACCCTTCCCTGGGTCATCTACATCACTATTCTGATCTGTGAAAACTTTCACAGGTCAGTTTGGGTCAGCTGACCCTTCCCTGGGTCATCTACATCACTATTCTATCACTCTATCTATCATCACTTCATTTGTGAATATATTAAAGGGGGTGATTATTTCGATGCCCACTGTACATACATACATAAAAATGGGAGCGGGTGAAGAAAGAAGAAAAACAAAGTTAAGGGCTCAGGGAAGGGTTAAATGACAAAAACTATACTGTGAAACCTTTAGCAAAACAGAAAATAGAAGCCAAGGACTCATAAAAGGTAAGGTAAAACAACCAAACCTTTATATTGTGAAAGATTACACAAATCACAATAGTCTATTAGAGCCGTGTATGATTTATCTAATGGCTTGGAAAACCATTATTCACTGGAACAGCAACGTATGACATTATGACAGAAGAAAAAAAGAGCAGTGCAAAGAGAAACAAAGACACACGATAAACTGCGTTTGGGAAAGTTTTCACAAATCGAGTTTGACCTAAAAACAATGTTTTTGTATTCGAGCAGTCTGCGTGTTTATTGGTAATAGACGTTAAACATAAAGAACGCCTATTTTTCACATTCCTTATAGCGGACTTACCAAGGGGTTTACGGACAAGAGCTTAACTGTGAAAAAAATTCACAAATCGAGCTGGTGAAATTGACAGCGGTTTCAATCCTCTAAGTGTCCAACTTTTGGAGCTATAGGCATTATAAAACTGAGAGTCGCAACGAAAAAAAACCTGATTTCGGCCCGAAGGACAGCGGTACCTGAATTCACAAATCATGGAGAATGATATTCGGTATTATTTGCATGTCTATGACAGCGCGCTGCGTATTTATAGCCAAAAGAAATCTGAATATCAAACCACAAACTATCTTTACTGCGGTAGACGACCGGTATTCAGATCCCATCCGCTTCATGGAGCAGCTCAATTACAAATCCTGCAGAAGAGTAAATGTACTTTATTTTAGACCTCCCAATTTCTGTAAGTTACATACATTGTAAAAGTTGGTGATACCATAATTTTTTTTTCTTGGTTAAAGGAAGCAGTCAAACTACAGAGCTGCGATAACTTAGCCAAATGCACCGATACACAACGATGCCAAAATAACAAAAATTATAATATTGCAAACTAAGTCGGGAACCGCAGCAACCACAAAGACTTGACACGTTGCCAGGGTCAGGGGCTATCACAGCTGTCCCAGCATCAATTATATCAGCTGCCTTTTCTAACGCAAAACACACATGCCCAAAATAGTTAACGAATTTGTTCTGACTTATAGTAATTCTGAAAAAGTTACAGTGAAAAAAAGTCAGAGTGCTAACAAAAAAAGTAATTATATGCTTACCTCCTTAGAGAAATTAAGAAGCGGCACTGGGTGCATTTAGGGATGCAGTCGCCATACTACCGGAAACTATAAACCGGCATGTGTTACATTTAGGAAACGCAAGAGGGTGCAGGAGTAGATTCTAATTTTACACTGTTGATTATGCGATTATGTTCTGTAGACGTCCAAGAAGGCTCAGTAATGAATACTACTAATAATAATAATCGTTACAACTAAAAATACTTAATTAAAAAGTAAAAAAAAAAACAATTTAAGCTGGAACACAAAGTAGAGCTTAATAATAATCGTAATATATTTGTTACTATACAATTTAAAAATATCTTAGTAATTATTAAGCATTAAAACAATAAAGCTAGAAAACATTAAAGCAGAGATTAATTATACTATATTCGTTGATATAACAACTGTAATAATAGTAATAATAATAACAAATAAAACAATCTTAGAAAATAACTAACAAAGCTGAAAAACAAATTAAGCAAAGCAATGCAAAGAATAATAAAAAATATATTCATTACCATATAATTAAAAATAACATCATTGTTAAACATCAAAAACAATAAAGCTGGAAAACAAATTAAGGCAAAGATTAATAATAATGATTACCATACAATTCAAAATATCTTAGAAATTCCTAAACATTAAAACATCAATAAAGCAGGAAAACAAATCCAGTCTGCCCAATACATATCTACTTTATTTACGTGTGCATAAAACTGACATCAGACAGTCTTTACTGTAATTTATGATTTACAGAGATCATATCTCATAGAATATGAGTTAAAGATTTTCCTGGATTCCCTCATCCTCCTCACTAAAACTCAATCAGCGTGAGATGAGAAAAAGAGTGCAAAACTTGACTTTTAAAGTCTACTAAGGATGTGTGGTACTCATATTTACTTGTCTACAATGAAAAGAGACAGCCAACAGCAAATCAACTGCTTACCAGTAAGATGCGCAGTCCAGAGGATGAAGATCAGAGGAAAATATAGCCATTCATTCATTCTGATTATAATCCAATCGTGTAAAGTCTGAACTCATAAAGTCTCCCTTCATTGTGCAAATTCAAGAGTTATGAAACCACCAAACCTAAACACCCATACACGAATAGATAATAATAGAATTTCTTAAACCAAACATGTTTATTAATTGAGAAAAAATTATTTCAAATAAAATCCCACAACCGTGAGAGGAATCTTAAATAACTATATCACTGATCCTTGAAATATGTTGAACAAACTCTTAGCTCAGAATGAAATACATTTAAATTACTTGGTCTTGTATTACCAACACTCTTGAGATGTGAAGTTCTGTTTACAGTCAGTGGGTGTCAGTCCATTTGCAGAGTCAATTATTTTTGATTTTTTAATAGTTCATCTAATTGCGTTTTGTACATGTTCTTCACATCCTCTAGGTCCAGACGCAGCTCTTCTGCCTCCTCTGCCTTCTCTCCATACATCTGCAGAATGGTGTTGTGCCTCTGTTCTAGATCCTGTGATGAACACAAACATCTGATTAGTGTTTAACTAACAGAATAAAAGTCTAATACCTATTAATGTGCTCGTTAGCAAACTGATCATCTAGCACGCTCTATGAAGGAATGGTGAAATTGTTTAAACAGGATGTAAAACTCAATTCATTTTGTCTATATTTACAGAGGGTACACTGTAATGGGGAACAATTTTAATAAACTACATTTCTAGACACGTATTCAGCATTAAAATAGAATTTAAACATTTCCATTTCCATTCAAAGTTTAGGGTCAGTAAGACTTTTTTTTATTCTTTCATTTAGCAAGGACACATTAAATTGATTTAAAAGAGACAGAAAGGTGACATTTTTAATGTTAAAAATAATTATATTTTAACCAAATACTGTTCTTTTGATCTTTCTGTTTCGTTGTGAACTTTCTGAAGGATCATATGTCACTGAAGACTGGAGTAATGGCTGCTGAAAATTCAGCTTTCCCATCACAGGAATAAATCAAAACATTAAAATATGAAAACCTCTCTCTTAAAATGTAATAATATTTAACAATATTTGTATTTTCTATCAAATAAATGGAGCCTCGATGAGCATAAAAACAAACAAACAATTATTTATATATTTTTAACTATTAAACACAAACACAACCTTCAGTTGCACTTTCAGTCTAGGGATTTCCTTCACTTTACTCTCTATCTCATCGTTCTGATTGGTCAGTCGCACCAGTTCTTCTGTCATGACAGTGCGGCTTCTCTCTAGACTAGCAATCTCCATCTTGAGGATGACCAAAAGAATTGAATACAAATTAGAACATTAATTCCACAACCAGTTATAAACCACAATCTGGTTATAAACATGGAAGATGTAATTGTACATAGAATTAATTCTAGTGAAAGACCAAGGCATACCTGCAGCTGGACAATCTCGCCCTCTCTGAGTTTGAGCTGAGACTGCAGGCTCTCAATGACACTGGATCCACCACCCAGTCGAGCCGCCTCATATAGGTTAGTCCCACTGATGGACATGGTCATGGTGCTGAAAGAATGGTCAAGAGAATCCTCCTGCTAAAAAAACAACCACAGAAGCCAGGTGAGGTGATAACACAATGTGAGATATCTAAGAGGAGAAAAGATTCACTGCATCTAAATAAGTATGGACAGGGGGTGAGATGAACATACCTGTGAGAAAAGGGAGGAAGGTAAGCCGGCATGCTCAGCCCCACTGACAGAACTGGAACGGGACAGTGTAGGAGTGGAGGATGCTGGAGCATCAGTCACAGACAGACTTAGGGACTTCCTCTCCTGATGAAACAAAAACAGAGACTAGTTGATTTTACTCTACTCAAAACGTTTATCTTGGACCCCGTTTAAAATGGTTAAGTAATTTTAAGTAATTTCTGAGGAAAACACTATTAATTAAGCAGATTCAGAACAGGTCTTTTCATGCAAAACCTTTTCTTTGAGGGCCTCTTGTGCAAGGTAACATTTCTTCTTCTCCTGCTCCACCTTCATTTTCTCCATTTCAAGTTGGTTGGTGAGAAGCAACTGAAGAGGACCAAATAATACAGACACTGAGAATAAATATGTGTGTATATATTTTCTTATAGTGGTCAAGGTACAAACAATACCTTCTCCTTCTTGGCCTCCTCCAATACTCGAGCATGTTCTCCTTTAAGATTCTCCAGCTCTACGCGCTCCCTACAGACACAGAAATTAATACTGGCACCTACAATAGCAGCTTCTTTTTCAATTTTATACACATCTCCTACCTGCTAAAGTCATCCTCCAGTTTTTCCCGCCTCACCCTCTCTGCATCCAGCTGCCCCTGCAGACGTCCCTTCTCTTGCCTCAACAGGGAAGCCTGAGACTCTAAAGATGCTATCTGTGCTCGGATGGCTAGCAGCTCCTCTGTAGCCGAACGCTCTTTCTCTACGGAAACAGCAAGCTGGGCTTGGGCATCAGCTGAGAGGAGACAATGACAAGTTAAAACATTTGGACAGAAGCCATCGATACTCAATCAAAACAAGCAAGTCTCACCTAAGCGGTCAGAGATGTTCTTCTCTAGTTTTTCCCATGATGCTGTCTGGGCCCCAAGCGTTGCCTGGAGGTTCTCTATCTGTCGAAGGAGAGGCCGTGTTGTGGATGTAACACTTTGACTTAGATCCTGGTTTCTGGTCTCCGCTTCTTGTAACCTCTGTTGAAGTGCAAAAATACAGCATAACCTTCACTGACACTATCATTCTGAAGTTTGGGGTCAGTAAGATTTTTTTAAATGTTTTTTAAATAAGTCTTTTTTTGCCCAGCAATCAAAAATACAGTAAGAACAGTACTACTATGAAATATTACAATTTTCTATTTTAACAGCAGCCATTACTCCAGTGTTCGGTGTCACATCATCTTTCAGAAATCATACTAATATGCTGATTTAATACGCATTTATTTGAAAAACAAATAATGAACAGCTTACACACCTGTCACTTTTGATTAGTTTAATGTGTCCTAGCCAAATAAAAATCATGTACATATTTAACGTGCAGAAAAATAAATTGTTAATCTTTTAAATTTTTTATACCTCTTTGGTTTTTAGAGAAGAGATAATAGAGAATTTAGAATTTAATTTAGAGACTTTTTCTCTCTAAAACAGAGAAACCAATCTTTCAACAAACAAACAATAGATATCAGCATAGTAGTTTGCCTTGAAAAGTCTAGGTTTCTACACAACAGCTGATATGAAATGAATAGTGCAATAATTTCTGTAAGCAGGAAGTAAGGTGCTCTAGTTACCTGCTGTAACTCACTGATCTCCTCCCTCAGGTAATCTTCCTTCTTGGCCTGCTGCTGCTCAGCTCTCTGTAAAGCCAGCCTCAGATCTGCCACCTCAACATAAAAAAACAGAGTCAAGACAGGCACAAAAGCTAGCATTTGGAGATTAATCAGCCACTAAAATAAAACATGTGCAACTACAGGTAGATGAGTAACCAAAGAAAACAGTACACAAAGTTCCTAAAAACAAACATTTAAATACTGTTAAAGCACAGAAAAATAAGTAATAATAATAACAATAATAAAGTAATATGATATGATAACATACCGTACAAGCCCCAAAAAAAAAACTAAAATGGACTTACCTGATTAGCCAGTGCCTCTTGTTGCAAGCAGGACTCTTCTTGGGCTTTCTCCAAAGCCAGACTCAGCTCTTCTTTCGCCTGTACCTCTCTGCTCAGCGCTAGTTCCTGGGCTTCACTATCCTTGGTGGCGTTGGCCTTGTGCAGCTCCGCCAGCTCTCTAGATAATAAAAAATTAATCAAAAATGAACAAGCTGGGAAAGACCACCACCCAAATGGCAGTGATAATGGGACAGTGAATGAGTGTGTATTAGCATGATGTAGAGTGTGTTGTGTTTATTTACTTGTAGGAGCTGTCGAGGGCTGCTTGCAAACTGCGGTTGTTTTCCTGAAGCTCTTCGCTGCTGGTCTGCAGTTTACTTAATTCTTTCTCCTGACGCTCCACCACAGCATTCAGCTTCTTGATGTTCTCTCGGTGTTGCTTTTCTACTTCCTCCTTACCGTCCAAAACCTACAATCAACATTGAACAAACCTCAGCATTCTCTTCTCATTTTACTGACATTTGATATAAAAGGAGTAGTTCACCCAAAATTGAAAATTTGATTCACCTTCAGGCCATCCAAGATATAGACGAGTTTGTTTGTTCATCGGAACGGATTTGGAGAAATTTAACATTACATCACTTGCTCACCAATGGATTCTCTGCAGTGAATGGGTGCTGTCAGAATCCAAATTATTCCAGTCCAGTTACAGTCAATTAACATCTTGAGAAGCAAAAAGCTTTGTGTTTGTAAAAAAAAAACAAATCCATCATTGAGGTGTTTTAACTTTAAACCGTTGCTTCTGGCCAAAGTACAAGTTACAATTGTCACTGAAGCAATATTATGGATAGAGGACTAGAATTTTAGCGGGTTTAAGTTACAAGACGTTAACTGAAGGATTACTTGTGGATTGTTGTGTTGTTTTTATCAGCTGTTTGAACTCTCATTCTGACAGCACCCATTCACTGCAGAGTATCCACTGACGGGCAAGTGATGTAATGGTAAATTTCTCCAAACTGTTCCAATAAAGAAACAAAAATCTATATCTTGGATGACAGGATGAGTAAATCTTCAAAAAACATTTTATTTTTTGAGTAACCTATTCCTCGAACTCAACACTGAATGCACTTTACTACACTTAACACAGCTTTGAAGGCTGTGTCCCTGACCTGCTGCAAGTGTTTCAGCTCTTCTTCCTGTTCCTTCAGTTTTTTGGTCTGTTTGGTGATCTGTGCATCACTCTCTCTCTCTTTCACACGCAGTTTCTTTATGATGTTGGAGTGCTGCAACTGCTGCTTGGACAGTTTCTCACCTAATCAAAAGAAACAAGTAAACAAACATCCTTAACAATGACCCAGATTCTGCAAGGATGAAGCAATAAATGTTTTTATCTCAATACGATCATCCTAATCAATGTGAATATTGTCAGGTCTCGCTGAAAATATTAAACAGCCTCAGAGATTCACCTTCTTCAAGCAGCTCTCGTATCTGTTCCTCCTTCTCTCTTATCAGTTCCAAAGTCTCATTTGAATTCAACCTGCTCGCCAGTTCTTCTCTAAGGCCCTTAATTTCCTGTGACCAAGACAAATCATGCATTTCAATACAAAATATGACTGGGGTATTAAGAATAATATAAATTCATAACAATACAATTTTTATATACCTTTTTGGCGATGTCTCTCTCCTTGCAGGCGAGTTGAGCTTTCCTCTCAACTTCAGCTATACGTTGAGTGAACTCATCTTTTAAAGACTGTACAGTAGAGCTTTCTTCCTTCAAGCTGATCATCTCACTGTGAAACACAAGTATTGCTGACTCTAATTCAATAGGCATTTAAGAAAGAAGAATCGATAGCACTATTGTGTGAACATCCAGTGCAGTGAAACTTCTTTAATTGAAAGAAATGAACACCATAAGCATGCCAGACTACACAGAATCTGTACAGTAAGAAATTATTCCATTTTTTATTCCATTTACATGCTGAAAGATGTGGAAGGTTTTTATTAGCTAATCTTTTTATCTGCCAACAGTATGTGAACACAGCGTCCAGTTTTCCTCAAGCTGTGTAAATATTGTTGCTGTCTCCACCTAGTTAGTTATTACAGCCGTTTGTCATTCAAGAAAACACAGCAGCAGATGGTTTTCTGGAGCACAGGTTCCTTAACTCACTCTTTGAGATTGTCACACTCCTCCTCCAGTCTGGCCTTGTCTTTACTGACCACAAGCAACTGTGATTCTCTCTTCTCTAGTCGACTCGAGAGCTCCTCGATAATCTGGGGAGATAAGAAAAAAGAACAGAATATAAATTCCATGTCACATACAAATACGATGAATAAAAAATGGGGGTCAATAGGATTGTTTTTTAAATTAATACTTTTATTCAGTGACAAAGAATTAAACTGATCAACAAAAAAAAAAAATTTTACTAAAGCTCTAAATAAATGTTGTTCTTTAGAAGAATACTGAAAAATAATGTATCAAAATTTCCACAAAGATATTAAGGAGCACAACTGTTTTCAACATTGATAAGGAGAATAATAAGACGGAATGTTTCTTGAGCACAAATGATTTTCTGAATGATCATGTGACACTGAAGCCTGGAGAGACATTAAATTATTCTTAAAATAATTTTTCACAATATTAGTGCTTTTACTGTATTTTTGCTCAAATAAATGCAGTGAGCACTGGAAGAGACTTGTTTCAAAAACACTACAAAAATCTTACCAACCACCATTTTTGAACGGTAGGGCATATCTAATAATTACATTATATGTCTTATCTTTTGTATAAATATTTATGGAAAAGGCCAACCTTTTGGAGCTCAAAAATCTGACAGGGTGAATCTCCTTGTTTCTCCTCAGTACTCTGTGATATTAGAGTTTCATTTATATCTGATTTTTGGCTAGTCAATGTGAGGTCAGTTTCAGGTCCCTGGTCCTGCAGCTCATCCGTCTGCTCACAGTTCACTGGCGTTGCACTGCGGCCACTTTCCTCCATCTCGTTATCATCCAGCGACTGGTCATTTACTGACTCAGTCATAACCTCCTCTTCCTTCTGACTGGTCTGTGGCGCTGAATGAGCAGGAGCGGGCAAATGTCCAGCCGTGATGGAAGCTAAGGTGCGGTTGCCCGGGATCTCATCATCAGAATTCACTTCGCTGACACTACGGCTGTCCAACGACTGCATGCTAAACGAGTCGATGCGCTCAAAGGCATCAGACGATGAGCCGCAACTTTCAGTGAGTTTTGGGTATTCATCCAGACGAGGGAAGTCGGCGCACGTTGAAGCGGAGAGCAGTTGGAAAGAGCCCTGCATTAGGTGGAGTCCAGCTTTAGACTCTGCAGTCTCCTGTCTGGAGCTGGCCGAGCTCTCGCTTAGCACGCTCTCATGGTCCAAAACCTCTATGTCGCTGGTAGTGGAAGTACCAGAAGAGAAGGCACTAACAGGGGGAGATGGGGTGTCGCTTTGTCTGTCCTCTGATTTAGCGTCTTTGGATTCTAACAGGATTTCTTTAAGAGGGACAGGCAAGGTTTTCACTGAATTTTTGGTCTCGATGGTCAAAGCTGCTTCAAACACTCCAGCAGATTCACCCTCAGTAGATGATAAAGGTACATTTGTGAGTGTGACATCTGAAGGAAAAACTAAGCCATCTGTCTCTGTCTGGTCCTTGCCGGTCTCCTGTTCAGCAGCTTGCTCTGGTGCAACGGACGCAACAGGAACAACCAGTTCTGGTTGAGACTGCTCATCTGCCGAGAATGAAATTTGCTCCAAAAGCTCTGTCCCAGTTGGCTTTATCTCAATAGTTTCCAGGTTGCTGCGTTTACTGAGGTCTGCCTGACCTTGCGCTTCACTGTCTTCCAGCTCCTTCTCCTCGTCTGCTTTTTCCCGTAGTCTGCGGTTCGACTTGGCAGGTGGCACAGACACCACTTTAGTGTTGCTTACAGTTTGTATGTCTCCATGAGGCAGAAAGGCACTGAAGAAATCCTCAGATTCGTCAACCACGGTCCATGTGACAGGCTTAGTAATGGCCTCGGATGATGGAGGGAGAGTTTTGGTACATTCCTCTGAGGGCGAGCTCCACTGGTTCATACCCCATCCTGTTGATACCGGCTTGCCTGGTGGATCTGGAAAAAAAAAGGTCACTCAAAAGTCAAGTCACATTTATTTGTTGCACTTTATACAATAAAGATTGTGTCAAAGCACATTCATAGTACTAAACAGGAAACTAACACTGTTCACTGTTCATGTTGCAGAATGCACCACTTATGAAACATATTCACTGTCAGCTATAAAGCAGCTCTACAGAAGGCAACCGTGTCATTATTCAGCTCAGTGTTGATTCAATTCAGTTCAATAATAACGAAATAAATCAAGCTTAAAGCTACTGAATCAAACATATCTATTTTATAAACATAAACATAAGCTAAAAGAAGAAAACAAATCCAACATTCGGAAACACAATACATCAAAATGACAAACTCTTTTGTATTCTTTAGTGGCTTTTTGAGGCATCCGGTTTCATCTTGGAAATTAAATTCAAGCTTATTTGTATAGCGCTTTTCACAGCACATACTGTTTCAAAGTAGCTTCACTTTGCTATAAGGAAATATTCTGTAATTAATGATCATATGGCAGTAATATATAACTATAAGATAAATACAAATTATATGGTTAGTCATGTATTTAGTTATGCAGACACAATTGTCATGTTAAGCAATGATTACAGCTTGCGGCTGTAATGATTACAATATAACGTTACGGATAATATTTGATAGTTTGTACATTGCAAAAGAGGTTTGCAAAAGAAATACTTTCTTTGAAGAAGTTTCATGTTTGCTTTGGTCTGTGATTCTGTGATTTTAAAGTTATGTGAGCCAACTAAATGTATGTAGTCAACTAAAAATATGTATGTGTGTGTGTACATTCGGGGACAAATGCATCATTATATCACTAAAGTTATGCCGAAGCCCAGTAATTGTCACTGATGATGTCACCCTGCACTGTCAGTAACATGTCTGTCTTCTTTCCACGTCAGGTTAAACCATTTATAACTAAACTTACCAGTAAAGGTCTGTTCGGTCGTATCACCCCACTGGTCCTCTTCTTTGATGTCCAGAACTCTGTCGATGGATTTCTGAGCAGTTGTCAGCGCTTGTTTAGCAAAACTCGACAGATGTGACGCGTTGAACCAACTCATATTGCTTGACTTCCAGCTGGTTGCGTGACAGCTCAGTGAACGTCTACATAAAACACAACAATATCAAAAGCATCCCAAATAAGAGCAGGTTTATTCCACACTAAGAGCCGAAGCAAGTGGGTTGTGTTTGTATGTTAGGCCGCTGTCCACATTAGCTTGGCGGCTAATTCTGCTCGCAAAACGACTGACAATTTGCTGGCAGTTGACATAATCCAACGCTAAAATTAAATTCGATGATATAAATAAATAAACGACGTACTGGGCGGCATTTTATTTGTCTTCGCGTTACTCGGCTTCTAAATTGGACTTCTACGCACTATTTGTTTAGGTTTCCTCTGGCAGCGCGAGAACTACTTCCCATCCACGTAGCATCAACAAAGCCGCATCAACCTATCATGCGCGTGACGTCAGGGTCACGTCACCAATGTCTACAGTACAATTTGTTATTTTTTTATATATTACACTATAACCCATATAAAGTTATATAATACTGATATCTGTGAATTGTGTTTATTTTTTATTAAAAAAGTAAACGATTAAAGTGTCACTTTTCAGTTGAAACCTCTAGAACATCATAATTTTACTAAAATATGAGTTGACCGAATAAAAGTAAACTCAAACGCACATTTTTTTTGCAAGTGCATGTAAGCACGACTTCTGTGTCAGACTCTGGTAGGACTTGAACTGGTGTTTATTTCTTTTGAAAGGGGGACACCATGCGGTCTCACGATCCAATGCACAAATGTGGAATTTTGCTAAAAACATTTAACAAATAAACATTTTAAATCAATAGAGTTAAAAATGGTTTACTAAAATTAAGTGAATATGAATCGAAATTCTTGCATTAATAAGATATTTTACTGAAATTAATATGAATCGAATTGATATTTTTCTTAAATATGAACTGAAGTTATTGCACTGTTGTATAATTTAAAAAAATGTAATAGGACACTAAATATAGCAATCAACTTTATCAAACAAATAATTTCACTGTAGCTTAATTAATTAATTTCAATTTGTAGCTTGTCAAACGACATAAGCAGTTTGATAAATTGTAGTATGTGGTGCTGTGGCTGAAAAAACTAAGTCACTAAGGCCAGTCTGACCTTGCGAATAAGTGTCTCCATTGTATTTCTACAAACTTGTATTACATAACAATGCCACATAAAACAAATAAAACAGTACAGTATACCTAATATCTCTTTCTTAACATTACATTGATAACGCAACATTCTGTTTGCTTACAAAAAGTCAATTTTAATTCTAGAGAATTTATAATGGTTTAATACCTTCAGTCTCTTTAAATATTTAATCAAATATATTTATTCACAAACTGAGTAAAAGTAAATTTATAGGAAAGCATTACTGGACTAGGACTTCAATACTTGTTTAAAATATGGTTTCCAAATTGAATTCAAAACATGAATATTTTTTTCTACAAGACACTGAACAAGATACTGTGAATGCACAACAACAAAATAAATAGATAAAGAAATCCACCAAAATGTCTCCTACGACTATAGCAGTGCAAGACAATGAAACAAATGTCTCCTGTAAGTGTCTTTGATGGACAGAGTTGACCATAAAATCTAAATACAAACGGCAGCAATTCCAGCCGAGCATGTGCATGTGATGTCTCTGCTGATATGTTGAGTTTATAAACTATTTCCAAGGCTGCTTCATTTTGATGATGACTGCAATAACCACTTGTAACTGTCTATAAGAATGAAGCATTTGTCCTATGAGATGAAGTTGAGCTTGAAGAGCACCGTCTGAGGAGTGGTGACATCAGCCACTGCCAGTTCCTGTCCATGGACTAGTCCAAGCTCTGCAAGCACAAGCAAGCATTTAAGACATTAAACAACATCAATATATTTTCGAAATACACTTATTAAATAGTTACATATACTACATGATATCACAATAGACTTTCAATCACCTTTCAGCGTTTTGTTTAGATTTGGTCGCGTTCTCTCTTCAATAGATGCTACGGTCTGAAAATAAAACCAAACAGATTCAAATGTATTAAAAATAAACCGCTAAAGCATAAAATGCATGTTAAATCCTGATCTAAGTGAACTAAATATGACAAGTCTGGTACATGTTAGAAATGTTCTAACCTGTAAATACAGAGTTTTGTTTTTTCCATCCAAAGTTGTCGTGATGGCAGGAGACTTCATTTGGCTAGTAGACAAAGGATTCAGTGTTATTACAAACAGGAGGAAACAGCTTCAGAAAAGATATCCGTTAACACATGAGGACAACACATTTTTTGCATTTCATCATATTTAACATTGTCACGTTCAATATTTTTTTAACTAAAAGGAATATTATAAAATGATGAATCAGATTCTTTCAGTAGGCTTTGTTTAGAACAGGAGAAGATATTATGCATTCATTCTGGTATTGGCATTTCGTTGATATGCGTTCGTCTAATACAGTAAAACGATCATTTAATGGCAAGTGTATCTAACCATTTAATTAATATAGTCATAATTTAGGATGATAATAAACAAAAAAAGCTGTATTAAATGTATGTATCAATTTAGTTTGTTAGGAATACATTTCAAGAATCTGAATAGGTAAAGAAGATAAGTTGGTAAGTATTTGTAATCTTGACTCTTTATTTGTAAGCCATGTTTAGATAATCAACAGTGCTTCTACTCTAAAAATTGTAACAAATTTTCTCTTTAGTTGCCTTTACTTCATTTTCTTAAACTATTTTATATGGTAAATATTCTAAGATATATGTATATGATTATACAGTATGTGTGTATGGGTATGCATGTATATATCTTGTTTATGTATATATTTTGTTGATGTTTGTTTTTTTATGGTAACATTTATGGTAAATTAAATACATAAAACAAAACAAATATGATAAAAGAAAACCATAGATGAACATGAATGAACACTGTGACTCACAGAGAGGCATTCTCAGTCAAGTAGTCCAGAATCTCCTGTAGTTTAGCTGAAGGTGGGAACTGTAGGTCCTGTGGCACCTGACTGCAGGCAGAACAATTCTCCTACACAGAGACATTCAGCATTAATGTCATCTTTTATTTATGTCCTTTAAATCAAGTTCAAATCATTAACCTTTCTCTCAGCCTCAAAGGTGTACATGTACAGCCCATCCACATCATTGAACACCAGGTAGTTGTTCAAGGGAACATAGGCGCTGTTCAGCAGAAGTAAAAGAATAAATCAGACATGTGAATGAACGATGAATTCAATGCTCTCTCCTGGAAAATAAGTCGTTATACCTTACCTCGTGGCAATTTTAAAAACCTCGGTGGCGCAAGCAGCTGAAATGTGAAAGAAAGGAAGAAGCTCTATTTCCAGTTGCAGCTCAACTTATTGAAAAATATCAAAAGAAAATCAAGCACCATTAAACCAGAGAATACTTGCAATGTCAGCATACCAGCAATAACAGCATTTGTAGAAGCCACAGCAGGAATTATTCTCTTCACGACCCCTGAAACACAGGTGAGGTAGAACATCAACAATAGGAGCTTCTGAACGATAACTTACAAACTGCAATGTGTACCATTATGAGTATAAACTTGATTTTGACATTTTCTAAAAGAAATTACAACAGTGCTTGCCTATGCAAATTTATGCACCATGATGCTAGTGCATTGTGGGTGGTTGCCAGGGCATTTGAGTGTTTTTATTTTGTTGTATCACATTGTTCTGGGTGGTTGCTAACTGTCCAGACTCAAAAGACCCCCGGAATGAAGCACCTAGAAGTTCCTCTGACATGCGGGTCTCTCAATATGGTTCGGGTTCCCAATCAGCGAACCTAGGACCTAAAATTTTCTATTTCAAGGTTTATACACTAGTTTAGGGTAAGGTTTTTTTTTTTTTTAAAAAGTCTCACCACGGCTGCATTTATTTGCTCAAAATACAGTAAAAACTGTAATAGTGTGATATACTACTACAATTTAAAATAACTTTTTTCTATTTTTATATATTTTAAAGTGTAATACAGCCCTGATGATGAATTTTCAGCAGCCATCACTCCAGTCTTCATTGTCACAGAATCCTTCAGAAATCATTCTACTGCTTATTTGCTTCTCAAGAAACATTTCTTATGATTATCAATGTTGAAAACAGTTGGACTGCCTGATATGTGTGTGAAAACCATGATAGATTTTAATGTACCCTTGCTAAATAAAAGTATTGTAATTTTGTACATTAGAGTATATCTGGACATTGTCTCCATCAAAACGGTTTACAAATGAGAGGATTTTACAAAATTGCTAATAAAGTCCCACTGACAGGCCCTTCTCACTCACCCTGGGTGAGTCTGTAAGTCACCCCAGTGATGCTGAACTCTGCTGCTCTTTCCAGAGATTTCTGGAACACCCACTGGATGTGCGTTGGGTCATCTCCATCTAGGGCTACACCGTCTGAGGAAAACACATTCAAATGTGAAATAATAGCAGACTACCTAGCAGCAACATGACCAAATATCCAATGGTTGTTTGAGACTCTATGCAGATCCTGTCAATTCAAGTACCTCCAAAAGGCTTTTCTTTGGGCCAAAGCAGCATGCGGACGTATTCAACGCAATGTTCTGGTAACCGTGGCATTGAGGCTATAGTGCACATCGGGAAGTTTATCTGTGTAGGGGACAAAAATGAGTATGACAAAAGGCTTTTGAAATTCAACTTAACACAAAATCCCAGTGTGCACCTGTGGAGGGTAGAGCTCGAGGGTGCAATCGATGCAAGCTGTCATGCCTGGAAGAATGACTCGGGCATTGCCCTTGAAGCCCTCTGTGCCTCCATCTATTAATGGAATAATGGAACTGGGATCTAGGACACCATCTTCATAAATCAGCAGAGATAACTGAGAAAGACAAAACAAGGAAATACTTTATAATAACTTTCATTAATAAATCATTAAGAAACATTATATAATGTTTAACAGATCGTTAGTTAATATATATTCAAATAGAAAAGTTTCAAGAAGTGCATGATCATATGAATTGAAAGTTTAATGGCATTTGTAAGCATTTCAATTTACATTAAATAATGATCTGGTAATCATTAGGTAATGTTTAATAACTACATTAGTAAACATTAACAAGCACATTACCTCATATTTCTAGCTATGTGAATATATATAGCTATAAAATATATAGCTACGTGAATATATAAAACAAAATGCATAAACTATAATATAAGCACTTCTCACAGAGAGGACTTTAGGTCTATGCATTTATACGGACAGATTGTTAGATGTTCAGGACAATAAACACATACCAGCATCCCGTTCATCCATCTTCTGGCAACAACAGAGTCCAGGCCACAGACAACTATGTGAAATTCTAGACAGTAACAACAAAAATAATAATAATTTTTAAGTTACATTACTCATATTTCCAAGCAAAAACTGCCCCCAAAAAGTGTCATAATATATGAAAACAACAGTCTCACAATGCAGGACAAAACTGTCACATATAATATTGACATTTTAGACAAAAGAAAAAGGTTTAGAGGGTATTTACGCCTGTAAAATGTCTCATCCAAGTCCTGGATTTTCTTAAAATGTCTGCATTGTTTATTAAGGTAAATACAAATATTTTGACACACATAAATATAACTTATACACTCCTCTTAGCAAAATATAGTAAAAACAGTAATATTTTGGAATATTATTCCAGTTTAAAAGAACTGTTTTACATTTGCCTATATTAAATGTGATCTATTCCTTTGATGGCAGAGCTGGTTTTCAGCTGCCATTACTCAAGACTTCAGCGTCACATGATCCTTAAGAAATCATTCTAATATGCTGATTTTTGTGCTCAAGAAAAATGTCTTATTATGATAAATGTTGAAAACTGTGGTGCTACTTAATATTTTTGTGGAAATCTTACTGACCCCAAACTTTTGAACGGTACTGTATCAAATAGAAACATATAGCAGCATTTCAACATGCCCAAAAATGAAAATGTCCTGAGGGAATGATTAAAGGATTGTTTAAGAATTTGAACTTCCAGGCTACATTTAATACACTTTGAAGGATACGGGACAACATTGCAGCCTGGGACCCTGCCATTTACAAAGTCTGCCGCAACCTCTGCCTTTGGTCGGCCCACATCCTTTGGTCTGTAGATACAACAGCGATCAGTTTACATTAATAAAAAAGAACAAGAAAAGGCTCAAAAAGGCAGCTATCAGCTGACTAAGACTAACCTGAAGAGGAACTGTCTGTTGAGGTTAGAAACATCAATGGTGTCCATGTCCACCACATGAATGTGCCGAAAACCTGACAAGGCCTGCGTGATAAAATCGCACCATGTATGAGCATGATAGGACAAAACACAGCAATTAGCCTCTTTGTAATTTCAAGGAATAGAGTATTGCAGCTGTCATTAAGTATTGAACAAACAAGAATCTGTCTAAAAAAAAATACAGCACAACAAAAACTGTACCAGATCTTTGAGCAGCTCACAACCAAGTCCACCAGCTCCAATAACCAGAATTTTGCATGTGTCCAGTAAAAACTGGAGAGACTAGAAGAATATGTGCAGTTTATGAAAAGAGAAGAGAGTAGAGTAACATTCAGGTTTTACAACAAACCGACTGATCTCATGAAGCTAAAATAGCTCAAAAACTATATTCTCTCTCCTTTTTTTAAATAATTTTATTTACACTATTTTTCCAGGTCTGTAAATCACACTTTTTAAAATTAGGCTTCTTCATACATCCTGTTGTTGAGGGGATAAATTAAAATGAGAAATATCTTGATTTTCAGATGTTTTGTTGTATTTTAATGCTTGATTTGTCATTCATGATCTTTGAGCAGCTCACAACCAAGTCCACCAGCTCCAATAACCAGAATTTTGCATGTGTCCAGTAAAAACTGGAGAGACTAGAAGAATATGTGCAGTTTATGAAAAGAGAAGAGAGTAGAGTAACATTCAGGTTTTACAACAAACCGACTGATCTCATGAAGCTAAAATAGCTCAAAAACTATAGTCCTGACCTGTATGACAATGGTGGATTATTGTGATGTTTTTATCAGCTGTTTGAACTGATTCAGAATATATATATATACCTTCTGAAAGTAGATGCATTTAGGAATCTTTAAGATTACTTACAACAGAACAGCAAATGCATTTTATGGACGACCGTTTCGTGAACCTAGGAGAGGAGGTAATTCTGACTTTGCTATGACAATCTGGCACTTCTGAATCAGCTACTGTTTTGTTATTAGTTTAAGTATTTGCTATTGACTGTTCAAATGCGGAGTTTTGCGCATCGTGTGCGTGCGTGCGTGCGTGCGAGCGCGCGCGTGTGTGTGTGTGTGTGAGAGAGAGAGAGCGAGAAAGACCAGCTTCATCACTGTGTCTGTCACGCAACTCTGTTCCCCTTTCGGGCTCTGTCTTTACATTTATGTTGAAA